TATGTATGGGCTTTGGGTGTTCCATTCATTGAATACCCATTTACAATTGAATTGCCAGGGGGTGGTTGCATATCAATTGCATTACGCATACGACCGAGTGGCTGCATGCATGCATGGCATGCCATACAATTGGCGTTGCACATCTTCACAAATTCCACTTGCTAGTATTGTTTGTTTATGCAAATCGATCAATCAATAGCAAACAACTTAACAAGGTCAAAAAGTATCGGCTTAAATACGTATAAGACCATGTAGATTGGAAGCATTTCTAACGAATTGCAGTGTTTTTCTTATTTCAATTTCTCTTTAAGTTATGCATCTATTATTGTGTCCCAACAAAAATTTGAGAAATTCCAAGAATTTCCATTTTAAAATATGGTTTTATGTGAATAATGTTTGCAATACATATTTTCCTTTATTTCTCCGTTGAGAGCTGAAGTAAAAGACATTTACTTACCTTGTCTATGATTTTATTTTAATACCACATTTATCTAGTTTATTTGCACAGATTTAAAGCTCCACTTAGTATAATATATTTTTAGGCATTGTCATCGCCACTTCCATTTCACATTTGTTTTATTTGGGCTCTCCAAAATTCACTAATATATTTTCGAATACTTTCACTTTCACTGTGCTTTGATTCGTCATTAAAGTCTCGCGCCTTTGAACTCTGGTCCGTGAGGTTCTGAGCCTCTGTCTGATTTTGGACTTAAACGCTGGATTCTCCAGTTGGCACACAACTACGAACCGCCGCGTTTCAAAACGTACTGCACATCGTTGGCCGGAGTCCAAGTCCGAGATTCGCTTACGGCAAAGTCGTATACCGTAATTCACCACGGCAAACCCGAGCCGGACACGAGCAGACACTCGTCTCCGACATGTGGGTCTGTGGAGCAATAGCGAAAGCTGAATTGCCGAAAAGTGAAAGCATCAGCACGGTTTCACATTGAGGCAGGTTAGTAAGTTCGTTGAAGCCCATTCTCTCGCTCTCTCGCCTTCTCTCGCAAGGACTTGTCGGCTTATTCCTGCGATGTTTTTTGATTACATTGGAAGTGCGATGTTATTGGCCAGTGATAAGAAGCTACAATTTCAAAAGTAAACTGTTGCGTGCATGTACAATTATTTGCAATTATAATTTTATTTAAAATTATTGTTATTTTAATTTATTTTATTATTTTTATTATTATTATAATTATTATTATTATTATTATTATTATTATTATTATTATTATTATTATTATTATTATTATTATTATTATTATTATTATTATTATTATTATTATTATTATTAGTATAATTATAATTATTATTATTATTATTATTATTATTATTATTATTATTATTATTATTATTATTATTATTATTATTATTATTATTATTATAATTAGTATAAACTATAACTTTTGTAACTAAACGTAAAACATTGTATGAGAGGCTTATGTGGATTTTAAGAGTAAAGTTTAAATATTTCTATTTTAAGTCGATTAATGGTAATTTGAATAGACTTAATAGAAGTTGCAACAGGACGGCAAAGCAAAACACCTCTGCACAGAACTCAGACTAAATTCCTTAATTGTAAATCATTCGACTGAGTGAAATGCTATGTTTTGATTACCCACAGCTAGTTTCCAGGGCATGCGCAGGGCACTCGGAGAGACAGAGGCACAGCTGTTGAACAGTGTCCGGCGTGGTGAATACTGATCCCACTGATAAGAGCTGATAAGAATGCATGGCAGGTGCAGCAGTGGGCACGGCAACAACAATAACAAGGCGCCGAGCTCGCATTGCAAGTGGAATAATTACATCATGATTTAATCAGCGCGGATGCCACAAGTCGAGTAGCTGGCAAATGCCCGGGTGAAGGTAGCATTATGATAGGGCAAAGGGTACCGGAGGTTGCCAGCAAACTACTAAATGAGCTTCGTTACAGACGCAATTAATGAGCAGCGTTGTACAATTAGGGAACTGCCTCAATTATGCAGTCCGCAACAGTCGGCGTCGGCAGATGCGAACAGCCCTTCGTACTTGCCCCACAATTTTCCAAGTTGTTGTCATGGTTGTTCTAGTTGTTGTTGTTGTTGTTCTAGTTGGTGTTGTTGCTGTTGTTGCATGTGATGGGGCTGCTTTTAATAGCAAATTTGTGGCCGTTGTGACCGTTTTTTGGCGCTGGTTAGACAAGGCCAGCTAAGGACAGGGGCAGCCTTTTAATTATGATAATTACATTGTTGTCGAGCTCATTTTCTGTCAGCAGCGCTGCCGACGATGGCCGCTGCGTGTGGCAGCTGCTGCGATTTGTACGGTTCGGAATTCACTGCACCAGCCCCACACTCACATTCTCCAGTCTGTCGGTCGCTAAACTATTTAATGCATCTTGCTGAATTTTCTGCATGCTTGCTGCCTGGAAAATTCATGGTCCACCGGTTCACCGGCATAATGCATGCCAAGCATCATTTTAAATGCCCTTTTAAAGTTATTATGATTAAAAATCTAAATGAGAAAAGGTGCTAACGGCAAGGCAACATTTAGCCCGACTCGAACAGCTTAATATTATAATACTTATATTATTTATGCATACTTCTTGCAAAGTTACAAATAGTTGTTGATGAACACAGCTTGATGCTGCGATTGCACAGAGAGACACATATCTCTTTAAATATTGTTCTAGTTGAAGTTTTATTAATCGTAGTTTATATATTTGAGTTTTTCATTGTTAAATAGATAAATCAAAATGCCAAGGCTCGTGACCAAGCTAATGGCTTTAGCAAACGTTAGGGTAAAAATACATAGATATGCATACAATATGATAGTTTATAAATTCGCAAAAAAAAAAAAAGGAAAAATAGTGAAAATGGCGCATCTAATTGTGTTTTTATGACAGTGGGGTTGCAGGCGAACACCGAACGGATCTGTTGAACAAAATTCTTTTTGCATTTGCGAGTAATTGGATTCTGGTTTGAATAGTCTGTCGCTGCTGCCCTGGAGTCCAACATGGTCTTTGCATGGTTAAAGCAAACTTTTTGGCACTCACACTGAAAATGGCTTAAAGCCAAGGTTACATGGCTAAAGCGCAAATGAAATGACGTGCCGCAAAAATTAAGAGCACGCTTTGCAATTCCGGCAATGCGAATGTACTGTGGCCCATACTCATACATCTATGCATATGTGTTCCAACTTTGTTGTTGGCAAGCCGCCATTTTGATATTCGTGCAACAATTTATGGGTCTGCCACCAATTTTGCAACATGTTTTTGATTGACACAATGTGAACGGTCGTGTGCGTATTTGCCTGAACATGCTAATTGCATGTCCCATCAACGCGATTCCGGGTCCGTCAGAGCTGGCAGCGCGCTTGCTTTAGTTTTCAACCATCAACTTATCAAAAGCTCCATAACTTTTTGGCTGCCCCAGGGTGGGAAAATGTCATGCGAAAATCGACAATGAGCGCACATCAATTCTGTAGCACACTTTTAAGCGCGGCGCTGTATATTTGACATTCGACAAAACCGCTGAAAATGGCAGCAAAATCCAAACATGCACTCGTGTCAGTTTTATTAATTATCAAAAGCATTCTTTTTTCGCATATTTTCTTCTTTTTTTTGCAGTTTTCCATATGTGCTTCCACAATGCAAAGTTGTCGCATCGCAAACCTGAAACTTTGCTTTATGATTTCATCTACAATTTCGCATATTCACTTTGAGTCCAAATGTGCTTCATTTGGTAAATGTTTTTTACCATAGAGCTCATTATAATTTTGTCGCAAAATGTGCGACATATTCGCCCTCTATGATGCATATATATTCTTCTGTCTGTTTATATACTCGTAGTTATGTACATATGGACAACTATATAGCTGCTATAGGGACAATCGGTCTATTCCCATTTCCATTCACGATATCATGGTAAAATCCATCAACTACGAGTTGCTTAATAAATCTGCAAATTAGTATCAGCCAATTTATATAGCTCTATGCGAATAATCAATTGAAAGTAAACCATTTCTTAGACACATTTAAACAGTTTTTTTTAATCTTCGGCTTACGGAACATATATGTGCAATATATGAAAGCCCAAATGTAGTACACTGTTTGGTGTATGAAATATTCGAAAAAAAATGCTGTGTTTTTAGGAGCTTTGCAACTCAAAACGCAAACTCGGCTATCAATCATATTAAAGGCTCAAGAGAACCAAACACAAACTATGTATCGTCTACAGTTTCGTTGAGCCTGTTGGTAAACATTGGCTATTTTTGTTGAATGTGCCCATGAAGCAAAATTCTTTGCGTGCTGCCTGAAGTTCGCAGGAAGTAAAACTTTGACAAAAAACGAGCGTATGAAATAACAAAGGATTGCAAAGAGTAAATAATCAGAATGTAACAGGCTGAAGCAGACTACGTGGTAGGCAAAAAAGCGCTCGAAATGGCCAGTAAAAAATTGTTAGGAGAATTATAACCAATTATTCCACTTTAATTACGGTACATACATTTGATTAAACATCAGAATATATTGTTTACAGTTACTGTCAATGTCTTATTCTTTTAAAATTATTATAAAAATGTCCAGCATTTTATTCCAAGAGACAGAATTTGCACCCTTGCTTTTAATTCAGAATTGCCAATTAATCTGTTTTGCTACATTTTAAACAACTTCAGCAGTTCAAGCTGAATTATTACGGCTGAAAATAGGCAAAAACTGTGAATTTAAAAAAAAAACGTAAAGATTGTGTGAAAATAATGGTTATGAATGGAATTACGGTTACGAACTGCCGGATAAGCGGCTAAATGAAATTTAAATGCTGACCCAACCGAAAACGTGTCCTTAGTTCAAAGGGAATGCATTTTATATTGAAATTGTAATTATTGTAATTGATGCAGACACACGCTAGCGTGTTTATAATTACTTAATTACATAATCAATTTCAAAAGCAATTATAGAATCAATATAAAATATTGAGACACCAGCAAATGGCACAATCAGCAGCAGAGCGTCGAGGGTGGACAACGCCATGCTCATCAATAGCTTGAGCTTCTTCAGGAGTCACTGGACAGTCTGGAGTGTGCTTGGAGTAACCTACAGGCAGATCAAATGGCTGCAGCCCTACATAGTGTATAGTCTCGTGGTTAACCTGTTGGTAACCGTTTGGTATCCGCTACATCTGGGCTTAATGCTCTTTAAAAACGCCAGCCTAACGGATGATATCTTGAACCTAACGACATTTGCCACCTGCTTGGCCTGCTCGCTAAAGTTTTCGATTTACGCTTATAACTTTGACAAGGTCCAGCAAATGGAGCACCTGTTAAGCCAACTGGACTTGCGAGTCAAGAGTGCGGCAGAAAAAGCCATCTACAGTCAGTTAAGAACCCAGCTGAGAAACATTCTGTTCGTCTTTATTGGAATTTATCTGCCTGTGGGTGTTTTTGCCGAATTGGCATTTATTTTCAAGGATGAGCCTGCTCTCATGTATCCGGCCTGGTTTCCATTCGATTGTGTCAATTCCACACGAAACTTCTACATTGCCCACGTTTATCAGATTGTCGGAATTGGTTACCAATTGATGCAGAACTATGTGAGTGATTGTTTTCCGGCCGTAGTCCTATGTCTGATCTCGGCTCACATAAAAATGCTCTACGTGCGCTTCGAGCAGGTGGGCGTGGATGATGCCGAGGACGCTGAGTATCAGCTGGAGGCATGCATAACCGATCACAAGCGTTTGTTGGAGTAGGTAGAATCTCAATCTGTTCGGTTTGCGGCATTTATGTAGTTGTATTTGCTTACAGACTTTTTCAGACAATCGAGTCCTTCATGTCGCTACCCATGCTCATTCAGTTCGCTGTGACTGGGCTAAACGTCTGTATTAGCATTGCGGGGCTTCTCTTTTTTGTGACCGAGCCTATGACTCGAGCATATTTCTTCTTCTACGCAATGTCCATGCCGCTGGAAATCTTTCCCATCTGCTACTACGGCACAGACAGTGAGCTCTGGTTTGGAAATCTGCACTATTCGGCATTCAGCTGCAATTGGACATCGCAGCATCGGGGATTTAAGAAAAAGCTGATGCTGTTTGTGGAGCGCTCCCTGAAAGGGAGCACTGCGCTCGCTGGTGGCATGCTACGCATTCATGTGGACACATTTTTCTCAACTCTCAAATTCGCCTACTCGCTCTTCACCATCATAATACGCATGCGAAAATAAATGTTATAAGGATAATTATTCTTGAGAACTGAACAGTTTTGCAGTTGCTCGCCCAGCAGACATCTACACATGCGCAGTAATACTTACCATAAAGTGCATGGCAAACATGATTTGATTCTATAATTTTATAATTTAGTCTACTAGTAAAAACGTTTCAGAAGTTTTTATTTAATGTCTTCAAGGCGCAGTCTTTAAGTCCCTGCAGTTTTTTTATAAAAATTGTGTTTGCATGAAGAAAACTTGACAGACATAATTTTATTTAGATTTACTTGCACTAAGATAATACTTAGAATTTCATATCCGAAGATTTTCAATTTTATATTCTTTAAATTAGTATAAGTTTGATGTGTAGTTGAGGCGAAAAGACGCTTTTCCATTTAGTTTTTAATTCTAGCTGTAAAATTGGGTTCTATCGTCATAAATGCAGCATAATCTGAAGTCTTATAAATCGTATCCATAAACATGATAAAGCTTTTGACAATGTGAAGATAATCACATATGCCGACACATTGCTTTAATTATTTGTATAAAATAATAAACAAATATCTATCCATATATATAAATGAAACAGGCACACACATTGGAATGTATTTGGCAATAGAAAGTATATTAGTTAGCTAATTCTAAAACTAGACTAATTCTCAACACTCCACACTCCAGCTTACATAAAAAACCAGAGAAGTTTCAACTTTTATTTGAAATCATAAATATCATTTAAAAGGGCAGGGGCGATAACAAGAGAGAGAAAGAGAGAGAGAGAGAAAGTAAAATAGAGAGAGAAAGTTAATAAATCAAAAGTTTTTGCTGCAGACAACTGTTCTATAGGAAATACGATGTGCTTGTGCGTGTGAGTATGCGTATGTGTATGTTTGTGTGTGTAGAATTCATTTATCTGTAGAATGGAAAGTAAAAAATAATGTTCCTGTAAATGGAAGTCTCTTCTTCATTCACCTACAATTTTAAGTTGAAGACATACCACCTCATAAAATTGTTTTGTTATTTTCTGCAAGTATTTGAGCCGATCCGACTATTTATTGTGCTCAGGCCTTAACTTTATAATGGCAATTGCAAAGATAGAAAATATTCATAAGATACAAATGAGGTTATAAAAAAGTTATGTCTGTATTATAGAATGTGGAGTGTATATAAGGGTACCTAAGTGTATTTGAAAGCAACACAACGTCAACAAGGCCTGTTAAATCGTGGGCCTCGTCTTAAGCATTTTAGCTGGTCTGGGTTAGTCACTTTTTAAATATTAATTATAACAAAACACCAATTACAAATACTTAAATATAAAATGATCGACTGAGAGTTACCTGATAAATTGTCCTATTTATTTCTGAAAATAATTCAAATGTACTCAAAAACAAATATATAATTAAAAGTTCATTTATGTCAATATCATTTGATCGATAAGATATTTAGAAATGGTTGTTGATGTTTATCCACATTTTTGGCGATTCATACTGTCCGCGTCGCCTACTCCTATAATATGTATTAGGGTATAATAATTAATAGGGCCACGCAAACGGCAATTATAATTATGTAATTACATAAATATTAAATCATGTCCTGCAACCATATAAAAAGCAACCACCTCTACCTAAAGAATCCGAGTCAGAACATTGAGCCGTTCACCATGCTCATTAGTAGCTTAAGTTTCTTTAAAAGCCACTGGGCTGTCTGGAAACTAGTTGGATTAGCCTTCAGGCAGACCAAACGGACAAAACTCTATATCGTCTATAGTCTCATGTTAAACCTGTTGGTCAGCATCGGCTTTCCGCTGCATCTGGGATTATCGATTTTTAGAAACCAGAACCTCTCGGATGATATCTTAAACCTCACGACATTCGCCACCTGCTTGGCCTGTTCCCTAAAGACCGCTATATACGCCTACAACCTGGATAAGGTAAGGCAAATGGAGCAACTGCTGAGTCAGCTGGACTTGCGGATTAAGAGTGCGGCAGAGAAAAGCATCTACATAAAGCTAAAAACGCAGCTGAGAAACATTCTCTATGTTTTCATTGGCATCTATCTGCCTGCTGGAGTTTTTGCCGATTTGGCTTTTATATTCAAATCAGAACGCAGCCTTATGTATCCTGGCTGGTTTCCATTTGATTGGCTTAATTCAACGCGCAACTTCTATATCGCCAGCGCGTTTCAGATTACGGGCGTTAGCTTTCAGCTGACGCAGAACTATGCGAACGACTGTTTCCCAGCCGTAATGTTGTGCCTCATCTCAGCTCACATTAAAATGCTCTACGTGCGCTTTGAGCAGGTGGGAGTGGATGATGCTGAGAACGCTGAGGATCAGCTGGAGGCATGCATAACCGATCACAAGCGTTTGCTGGAGTAGGTAACATCTGGAAAGCATCCTCTGCAGTATTTTATTGACTTTGTTCGTTTGCAGGCTGTTTCGCACCATTGAGTCCTTCATGTCGCTGCCCATGCTGATTCAGTTCGCGGTGACTGGGCTGAATATATGTACTAGCATTGCGGGGCTGCTCTTTTTTGTTACCGAGCCGATGACACTCACATATCTCATATTTTATTCGCTGGGTGTTCCGCTGCAAATCTTTCCCACCTGCTACTATGGCACAGACATCGAGCTCTGGTTTGGCAAGCTGCACTATGCGGCCTTCAGTTGCAATTGGCTGGCACAGAGTCGAAGTTTCAAGAAGAAGCTGATGCTTTTCGTGGAGCGCTCACTGAAGCGCACCGCACCCTTGGCTGGTGGAATGCTAACCATTCACGTGAGCACCTTCTTCTCCACACTGAAGTTCGCCTACTCGCTGTTCACCATCCTGATTCGCATGCGAAACTAATGGCCAGAAATAATGCCAAAGTCAATTGCATTACAGCGCAGCACGTGAATGCACACCAAATGCAAATCATAACCTGACAAAATTCACTTGTTAAACTCCCGGAACAATGGCGCAGCGGAAGCCACTCACGTCCAGCGGCCAAGTGGTTCCGCTGCACCGGAAGTTGCCACATAGAATGCTGCCAGTGGCAGCTAAAATTCGTTATGAAATTAGCCTTGTGTTTTGCGGATTGCTTGACTAATACACACTAATACTATATACACTGCCAGTGGGAGTCGCAGCTAATTGAAGCGTTTATATTAACTTTGCCTGGTTTTTTTTTTAGTGGATATTGCCGCGTGGTTGTTGCTAGCCCGGTTAGTTGTTGTTGCTGCTGCTTTATTTATTTGCACCAAGATAAGACATTAAAAGACTTTCCGGGCTTTGGCCGGGCCTAATGCGCTTAAGTCGGCACTAAGTCATGTTGAATCTGTAAAGCCAACATTGTAACATTGTAAAAAGGCGAACCATGCGGCCAACATCGGCCAACCAAAAGGGCCAACTGGCAATCCAACCAATTTATAGCCAAAGGTCAGCTGCGGAATAAGGTCTGCTGTTGGGACCCAGGAGCAGCAGGAGTCTGGGCGCAAATCGATTTCGATGATTATGTTGGGCGCAGGCAGCAGCAGGCAGGCAGCAGGCACTAAGTTGATTTGAATTTATAACAACACGCATTTGGCTCACTCACAAACACATTCAGCAAACGCCTCGGGACTGGCAACTAGTTTGGGATGCCGCTGATGAAGCGCATGCAAAGCACGTACCGCTGCCGCTGCCATTGCCACGCCCAGTTGCTGTGTAAATTCCTTCTGTAGCAGGTACCAAATCGCTCACCAAATATGAGAGCTGCTTTAATTTTTAATCAAGGGAAGCCAACTCATACCCCGCTGCGCACTTTTTTAAAAAAGAAAACTCAACTCGAAATTTGCAATGAAACTACTTTTGTGCTTAAGCTCGACTGCCTGGCCAGACATTTGGTACGTTAAGCAGACTCAGCTGTATCTTTTGCCAAGTCAGAAATTATATTTCGCCAGTTGCCTCATTTATTTTGAGCTTGCAACCGTTTCTGTCGCCAATCTGTCGAGACCATCATCATAACCATCTTCTTCTTCATCATCATCATCATTGTCGTTGTCGTCATTATCATTTGGCTGCTTCTTTATCTGTCGCTCTCCAACTGTGTAAGTCATGCAAACTCCAACTCGAAAAAGTCCAGCAAGTCACTTTATTTAGTTTGGAGCAACTTATACAGCTCAAGTAGCCCATTCCATTGGCTCCGTGTATAGCAGTAATCGTCCTACCCGCCGGCTCTTTCTTTGCTTATTTGGGATTAAGCTGGCCGTGTCCTGTTGCTGTTTGGCTCCTCTTTCTGCTGCTGGCCTTCTTCTACTGTCTGCTGCCGGACCTCGTCTCCTTCATGTCTTCCACCTGATGCTCGGGTTTTCCTGCTGCCGGCCACACTCTCCTGTTGCCGGCCGCTTTCTCCTGCTGCCCGTCTTCTCCTGCTGTCCGTGTTCTCCTGCTGCCCGCTGCCCACTGCCCGCCTGCAATTTGTTGCCAAGTTAAATGTTAATACACTTTTTGCTGCAAGTTGCTGCTGCTGTGGCAGCCACAAGTGGCCACTACACCTGATGTAGCCCAACTTGGACAAGACCATGTTGCAGCTGCTTGTGCCAAAAAACTTCTGCAAAAATGGGCAACAGACGAATACAAATTCAGGCCAACTTTGAGACTCGATTCGTTTAGCTTTAAATTGAAATTAGCCAACGAAGTGTCTTCGCCGAGAAAATAGTTCACAACTTTGGCATGGAATTAATAGTTTCCTTATGACGGGCGGACGCAACCCAAAAGTTTTTGCGCATATTGTCAAATTTTAAGTAAATCGAAAAATACGCAACTATGCATTTGCCCGGAAAACTTTTTGTCAACGTCTTGAGTTGGACGCCCCGACGCACGCCCGACATCCATCCGTTTTTCCAAAACATTTCCATCGCTTTTCCGCTAACTAACCCACGTGGCCTTGGCAAGGGCCGTTGGCGTCGGCGCACAGAAATGTACTCAACTAAATTACAGGCTTTCATAGTCTGCAAAATCTTTGGCATTTACGTATGCTATGCACACACACACACACACACACACAC